TTCCGTTTACATGAAATTGTCCTTATGACTATTTTTCTCGCCTAAGCCCACTTGGTCTAGTGGCACAGAGGTGTTTGGGTGAGGTGGGGTTTAGGGGGAAGTTACGGGTTTGATCCCATGTTGTATAAAATAAAATAAAAAATTATGACTATTTTTCTCAAGAAATATGATGAGAATAATTAAATGCAACTCATTAAAAGGCTGGCTAACTTATATTTTCTATGTTCAATGAACTCACAGTGGTGGAAAAGCTAATTCTATTTCTAAGACACCTCAAACTGACAGTTAGAAGAAGAAAATAATAATAATAATAATAATAATAATAATAATAATAAGTCATTCGCTCACCTGTAGCCAGGAGAGCTTGGTCTAGTGGCACAGAGGTGTTTGGGTGAGGTGGGGTTTAGGGGGAAGTTACGGGTTTGATCCCGTGTTGTATAAAATAAAATAAAAAATTATGACTATTTTTCTCAAGAAATATGATGAGAATAATTAAATGCAACTCATTAACAGGCTGGCTAACTTATATTTTCTATGTTCAATGAACTCACAGTGGTGGCAAAGCTAATTCTATTTCTAAGACACCTCAAACTGACAGTTAGAAGAAGAAAATAATAATAATAATAATAATAAGTCATTCGCTCACCTGTAGCCAGGAGAAATTCAAGAGGATGAAAAGCTATGGACCGAATATGTCCTTCATGGAACTTAAAATCATGCAATGGCTTTCCAGCTGTTAAATCCCACACCTAAGCCGTAGCAGCAAGATTTTAGAGAATATAAGTATCGGCAATAACTCTCACTACAATTGGTACAGCTCATGATCAATTATTACCTTCACCACATTATCAAACCCACCAGAAACTACCCATCGACCATCAGGGGTGAATTTAATAGTGCTGATGCCTTGAGTATGACCTTTGTAAGTGTGAATGCATCCTTTCTTTCTAATGTCCCATATCTTCAGATTAGTATCCATGGAACCAGATGCAAAGAACTCACCAAATGGATGAAATTCAACGGCAGTGCAATTGGATCTGTGTCCAGAAAGCGTGCGAACCACTACACTTCAATGACAATAACAGATATGTTAAAAAGTCCACTAACAAATTACTTATATACTCCTACTATGATACAAGGCTTCTAGCCTATAAGTTCAACCTGCAAAAATAATTTGAACTGAGAATTCGACTAAATCAAAGCCCATTTAGTAGGTGACGTGAACAATGCAAGTCTTATATCAAATACAACCCCAAATCATCGAAATTATCCAAGTCTTATAATGTAGCAATTAAACAGCTTACTCTTTGCTTCTTGTAAATCCCATTGTTTTATTACACCGCTAGAAGCTCCGGCAAGGACTAACACTTCGGCCGAATCAAAAGCAACAGACTCGACTGGACTTGTATGACCACAAAGGCTCTGTCGAAATGGGAAGAAGCACAAAAAATGAGTTCATTCAATCCCCAGTACTCATAGACTTCAAGTAACACCGAAAGGTACTAAGGATACATTTATTTAAAATAAAGTGAAAAAAGGAGAGCTCTTTCAAGTTTATCGTTTTTTGTTTTTTTTTTTTGAAAGCTTCAAGTTTATAGTTTGAATTTATTTAGCTAGGAAAATTTCAAGTAACACCGAAAGGTACTAAGGATACATTTATTTAAAATAAAGTGAAAAAAGGATAGCTCTTTCAAGTTTATCGTTTTTTGTTTTTGTTTTTTTGAAAGCTTCAAGTTTATAGTTTGAATTTATTTAGCTAGGAAAAGAGGAGAAATTTTGAGAGAAAAAATAGAAAATACATTTCGGCCAAGTTCTATAACTATAATCACAAAAATCTATACTTAATTTTCAGAAAGAACTCTATTCAACAACGTATGGCATATGCCCACAAAATTGACTTTGCATTGAAACTGGCAGTTCCCAAGTGTACCCATGTATAGAAACCATCGGCAATAATATCTGTTACATGTAATATGGCTGATCCTCTAAATTAGGGAACTCAAATAACAAAATGGAGAGAGAGAAGTTGACCAACACATAACTAACGACATATTAACTGAAAACGCAAAAAAATCTCAGGCAACAAATAATAACAACAAAAACGCAAAATATAAAACGACATAACATTTAATTTAACAAACCTTTAACGACGTTGGTTTGCCAATTTCCCAAACATTGACTTTGTGATCATCCCCGCCGGTAACAAAAAGTCGGCACCCTTTTTTCCCGATATTTAGGCAATTGACGTCGCCTGAATGAGCCAAAAATTCCTCTATTTTCCAATAAGGGTCAAGAAAAATAACAATTATCAAACAAAACGACATAAATACAATAACCCAAATTCAACAACAAGAAGTTAGTTAATAAACTCGCTCTGATGCTATTTTAGTCCACTAGTTTCCATCCAAAACCGAGGAATATCTTAATCTAACTGCCCAAATCAATATAGAATGAGATTTCCTCGTCCTTATAATTAATGCTGAAAAGATTTTTGATAAAATAACCTTGTCATCATCTTAAGCGAGAAAATTACGCCAACCAAAGTGAGTAAAAACTAAAGTCTTGAACTTTCTTCGTTTTGCAGCAAATATTTCACAGTAAACCAAACAGGACATACGATTTCCCAACTTTCGAAAACAGATAATCAGAGAAAAACCAAGAACTCTGCTTCCTTAGAATCGGATAAGATATTAGAGCATAACTTAATTTCAGCTAAGAACACTTCAAGAAAAATCCCAAAAATAAAAAAAGGATACGCAGCTTATATCCACGCTTCGCCATTTCACAACGGTGAACGGAGCTAGCTGAAACTCGGAGAACGATATCTTCCGGCGACGGAAGAAAAAAAAAACTTTCGCTTCGACAAGAACTCTGCTTCCTTCAATAATAACTAAGAGAAGATTCAATGAACTCAGCGCTTTCTTCTTCTTCTTCTTCTTTTTCTTTAATTTTCTCCAGATCGGTCCGGAAATTTTCCGAGAAAGTTAGGGATTAGATTCCGGGAAAATTTTCCAGTACTGGAAGGAATTCGGAAAGAAAGGGAATAGGAGAAAGATATGAGACAAGAAACAGAATGGAAATCAGATTTCAGACCAAGCAAGAAAGGACGAGCCAAGAGCCAAGTTCTTTCTTTCGTCAGCTTCTGTTATTTGACCAAAATGCCCTTCGCTTTTCTCACTTACAGACAGCGGAAATTGCTACAAAACCAGTGGTCGGTTATTGCTTGTATACTGGTGGCATATATTTTAAGGAATTTCACAACCCGAATTTTATTTTATTTTATTTTATTTTTGCTTATATTCATTATTTTTTGTGTATTATATACCGTACAGCACGTTGAGTAAGGTTATTTAATTGTATATAATTAATAAAAGAAAGTGTGCGAAGAAGAAAAATAAATTGGGAAAGCGACTTCTATCAAACAATAGCATATGGGAAGCTTTTCCTAAATTGACAACTAGACTTGTTCCTTTTACGAACAGTTTTTTTTTTTTCTTCTTTCTTTAAGAGGTGGTAAAACACGTCTTGATTTGATTACGACGTGTCACTTGCAAATTATTTAGGATTTTTCTTGTTTAAGATTTGTTGGCGTCATGTTTTGGTATGTTAATTGAAATTTGCGTTTGGTTTAAGGGAGATGTGTTGTTTTCTCAAAAAACTTCCATTATTTTTCTATTCAAAAGAAAGTTAAACTTCATTAAAGTAAAACTTTTACAAATGTGTGGATTATGTTTGGGGAAAGGATAAAAATTTAGTTCAATTTTTTCCCTTGCCTTGTGCTTGTGAACCGAAAGATACCCACGGCCAATAAGTAAAAATTAAGCGCATAATTGCATTTACAGGAATTGGTGTGTTGTTGGAATAGAACTTCAAGTCAAATCAAACAAAAGTTGCATGTGCCGAATTCAATAATTTTGATTTCGAAACATTAAAATTTACTCATGTAGTTACAACTAAATTGGGCCCATCGGAGAAAATAATGTTTATGGTTTAAACGTCACATGGAAGGAAACAACCGCAGTACTGCTACCATTTGACCTTAAGAGAGGCACTCTCAAACTTGTTGCAAATCGCACTTATTCAAATGGCATTGTTTACTTGATATATATATATATATATATATAAATAACCGTCATAAAGTTAGGGTATAGCGTACTTAAAACAAAGTATAAGTGTTGTGTGGGAAAATATAATGGACACCTGGACTAACGGCACCACGACACGTGGCTATACTTGCTTTCCACCGAGCACTCAACCCTCGACGCTTCGTTTCCCTCAAGATCAGCTGTAGAGCCCGAAGATGAAGTCCATGATTAGGGCGACGACCCCATGAGGCGTCGATGGTTGACTCCGCCTGGGTTGACACGACAAGATCCCTCGACTGCAGAAAAGATCGCTAGAGAGGGCGAGAAAGGTTAAACAGCGCTGACGACGAGGGGAACGTCCCTTTAAGACACGACGGGTTACATGCAAAAGTAAGAGAAGTCTGACAGCATTAATTGCAAGTTTACAAACCGCCCCCCCAGGAGACAGAAAAGCATTACGGAGAGTCACAGAGCCGTAATAGAAGACTAATTGGTTGAGTGAACATTACTAATTAGTGGGCTATGTCTGGGCCTAGATAGGGAGAGCACTTGAGTGTTCCTACCTACAAAAGAAACCCACCCAGTGAAGGAAGCCCGAGTATAAAAGAAGAAGGACCCCCAATAGGGAAAGGGTCCAGAGATCCCAGAGAAGAAAGAACAAGAGAGAGAGATAGCATTTATTGTAAATTATAATCTCCACAAAAGAAATACAATATACACAGTGGATGTAGCTCTAATTTTATAGAGTGAACCACTATAAAATTCTTCTCGTTCATTTACATACAGTTTATTCAAACACAAAAATACTTAAATCAAACTAGAATCCACACTTTCAATAAACCCACAAGCCGATAAACCAAAGAGTAACCCCAAAGTAATCCGGCGGGTTTATTGTTGACGAAATCCAACCGTCAACAATAAGCATTCTCACATAACATATAGATCCCTCATAAATAGATCGTTTTATGTCCTGTATCCCATTTAATGTGATGAGATTGACTTGAATTTAATATCTTACCGAATAGAACTAATAAATCACCAAATAAATCGTGGTACTCAAGTGTGAAAGTTTTTCCCTCTTGTTCAGCTATATGGTCCCGTGATTTGAAAGATATTTGGTTGGAGGATTCAAACTATGATTTGAATTATGGTTTATGATTCATTACAGTACTTTTTCTCACAAAAAATACACGTAAATCGAAAATGATTCTAATTACATGATTCTAATCCATGAACCAAACGTCTCCTAAGTTTCGCTCATCAATTTGAAGATTGGCTTGTGGGTCGCGGATTTTAATTAAATAGCCTAATTAATCAAAGTGGAATTATACAAGTCAATTTCATGATTAGTATGTGGATCGTACATTAAACAGGGTTTAAACCTAGTTCTTGGTTGATCCAAACTTTCTAGTCCAATGTAGGATGTGGCAAGGTTCTAGATGTTTTTTTTTTTTTTTTCCCTTTCCTTTTCCATTTTCTTTCCCCACAAAAACGTGTAGCTTAAAATCACAACAAAAATATTCGTTAGAATTTGGTAACATACTTACGTTAAGCTTTTCCAAATGGGAGATAGGAAAAAATAGCTGAAAAAATATTAGAGAAAGTGGGAAACACCATAGATTTTGGCATTTTGATTTTTTTTTTATTTTACATCAATGTTAGGTTAGTTATTTTATCTAAATCAATTTGTTTAATAAGAAACGAAAGGGGAAAATTCACGTATCACCTACCAAATATTTGTATATTACAAAAAAAGACTTTCTTACTCAAGTCGGTACCCTAATTTTACCAGACATGTGAATCAAGATAATCTGCAACAACGCGGTTTGACTGTTTTGAGGCTTCCATCCAAATAGCAACTAGAAAAGCATAATCCTAATTTCCAAAAATACCCAGATTGATTTAAACATGATTTAAAGATAACCCTTAGTCTAATTCAGAAAAAAAATACTAGTTTTGCCAAATATTTGGAGATTTTTGTCTATATTCACCATTTTAGTACGAGAATATGTCCTTTTCTATGTGCCAAACGAAACAAGGATTAAGCCAAACTTTGGTCAGGCACGTTCGGTATTTAGATTAAATGAACAATACTGATGGGCGTATTTGAAACTTGTTTTAAAATAATTTTATTTTTTATATGAAATTAAAAATGAAAACGTTTTCAATCTCAAACAGAAATTATTTTTAAAAATGTATTTTGGTAGTTTTATCAAGAAATTATTTTTAATGTAAAAAAAACTTATTAATGTCTCTCTCTCTCTCTCTCTCTGCTCGAGAGAGGAGAAAACAAAAACAAAAAATGAAAAACGAAACGATTAAAAGTCATTTTCATTTCTCTCTCATTTTACACTAAACTAAAAAATCGTTTTCATTTTCGTTTTTTGTCTTTATTGCACCAAACATCGTTTTAAAAACGTTTCCATTTTTCTTTCTCAAAAAACGTGAAAAATAAAAACGGGATCAATTTTAAACACGACTAATGAGTTTGTTTTACAACCTGAAAAATATTGGAGAGAGAGAGAAATGATAGTAATTTAATAATTTTATATAATTATATAGTGAGAAGATGAGAAATAATTTTATATTATTGGAAAGGCAATGGAATGGCTTCATTCTCCGAGGATTTCACGTGTGAGATATACAAGCTGCTCTTGTCCTGACTTTAGACCTTGGTTTTGGACTCATATAAATCAACATTTTAATCAACTACCGAAAACAAAGAGGAAAAAAAATAAAAATAAAAGAAGTATTTGACTGCCAGGAAATCATCCGACATACCACACCAACATCATGGGAAACCAATCATTTCTGTCCCTAGCTTTCTTTGCTCTTTTTTGCCAAAACCCCATCTACCAGATCTCCACTCCCATAATCACTCATCCAAGCATTAAAAAAATCCGCATATTTAAATCGAAATTTTTTTGATAAAATATGAAAAATACCAGACGAATAAAATTACAGTTTTTGACTGTCAAATCTTTATTTAATTGTTTTAAATCACTGTAATATTTTTAATTTTGTAGAATTTTGAGGTGATCCGACAGTTAAAAATTATTTGCTGACATCTTGTTCTCGTCAATTGAAGACACGTTTTTGGGGATTCATGTCCAAAAGACCCGTTAGAACTGTGGGGTATAGAGAATAGGGGGAAATAGTGGAAAATAAGTCAATATGAAAAGCTTAAAAAAATATATAAGTCAATTTTTAGTTATAAAAATTAATATGCCATAATTTGTCAAGTTATAGTTCATAACCAGATAAGTTATGGACAAACTTGTCAAGTTATGGTTCATAACCAGACAAGTTATGGATAATTATAGACAATAACTTGTCAAGTTATGATTCATAACCAGACAAGTTATTGACGAAAACAGTAATTTAACCTATTTATTAATTTATGTAAACTATTAACCTATTAATTTTAATTCATCTTAAATCTTGACCTATTTCTCTCTTTCTCCCTAGAGAATAATCCAAAAGCCCAAGGATGTACGTTTAGAAATGATACAGAATGTTCAGGAATCCTAGGCAGGAAAACAGGATATATATATATATAATAAAGTTTAAATCATGCATTTATATCTTTGTTTGCTCAACATAATCAATAATAATCATTTGTCACACATTATATTGTTCCATATCAAAATATTTAACGAGGGCAAGTCATTGTAGCCACACTCAGAAAGTATATATATATATATATATATCCGTAGTAAGGCTCACGCAGAATTAAAATGTCACATTCTTTTGTTTACAACAGAGATAATTACTTTGGCTAATGATATCCACAAAGAATGATGAGTTTAAAAACAATATATTAGCAAGTTCTTGAAAAGAACAAATACTCAATCGGCCACATTATGTTATCAGAGGATATCGATCCTGTCAAAATCAAATATTGAAATCTGCCATTATCTAGAGCTGACACATCAGTCCCATAGTTGCCTAATTAGAATTAATCCTTGACTAACTGCTTGGGGCCTCTTCTTCTAAGTCATTTGTAATAGTTCCTGGACTATTTCAGAAATTGGAGGCCTAAATTCTGGCTCCCTCTGAAAGAAAGAGTGGATACAAGGTTAACTTCTCACACAAAGATAAGTACACAGATAATCCAAAATAAAAAAAAAAAACCATGTTCTCAGTTGGACAAGTCTACTTTATAAATTTAAGGCACATTTTGGAGTGTTTTCAAAATGATTTTATTTTAAATATGAAATAAAAAAAGTTTTTTTTTTTTTTTTTTTTCCCATTTCCTGCACAAAATATGTAAATGGTTTTAAAAAAACGATTTCCATTAAAAATAACGCAATCGAAAGCTGTTCCTATGTCATTTCCTACAGATACAACTCCGGAAACGTGAGAAAACATTTTCAAAACGTTACGACTGTTTGGTACCTGGTTTGAATTAGAATTCAAATTTGTAAAATTTTGGTGAGAGAACATTGTCGCAAAACTTTTTGAATTTGAATTTTTGAGAGAATATACTGTAACAGAATTTTGAACCGGGGTTCAAACCCCTCTATACCAAACAAGCCCTACTAAACGGGCTCCGAGTCCGACTTTTTTTTTTGGTTGGGTGGGAAGCATACCTGTAAGCATGAGGAAATAATATCAGCCAAGCGTGACAAAGACTTCATAGAATAAGCTCCATATAAAGAGGGATCAACCATCCTTGATAATGCATCAATATCATGAAGCTTAGGGACAGCCCATCTAACTAGAAACTGCTCTCCGCGAGGCCTTGACCTGCGATTGTTTTTTTTTTTTTCAAACCATGAGAAGACATTCTTAGTTGAACCCAAGGAGGTAAATAGTGTCAGTTGCCAATATGTAACAACAAAGAAAGTGGCCAAAAAAAAGAAAAAAAAAAAAAACACAATCACGTCATTGTTCCTTATAGAACAGCTACCTGTCATAGGGTTTCCGCCTGGTGAGGAGTTCTAACAACACAACTCCGAAGCTATAGACATCACTCTGGTAAGTATAACTCCCAGACTCGAATTCCGGAGCACCATAACCATGCACACTGAGACCTGCAGATATCTGCTATTGAAAGCAACAGAGAGGTTCAATCTATCAGTATCAACTGCAACTATAATTTAACCTTTCAGCTCAAATTTGTCAGAATTTTGAGATCTGTAATTTTCTAAGTTCTAACTTTTCACGTCTGTTTAGAGTATAATCTAGCGATTCTGCCACACAAAGAGGAAAAAGAAGTCCATCTTTTCCCATAAGCATATTATATCTTCTCCATTACTCTCTAAATTTCCTTCATAAAATTGATGCACCAGATCACAAGTCAGATTTAAAGTTGAGTTCCCAAAAATAATCTTCTCTCCACTTGGCCACACACACGGAGAAAAAGAACTACCTGACTCACAGAGGTAGATGCCAACAATGGAGACAAACCGCAGTCTGATACATGTACTTCAAGCTTGTCATCAAGGAGAAGATTGGAAGACCTGAAATTCCTATGTATAACTGGTGGCCGGCAGACCTCGTGCAAATACCTTTGCCACATTAAAAAAAATCCAGTCATTTATGAACTTTCTAGAAGCATATCTCCTTGGACAAGTGAACACGTATACCTCAGGAAATTTAGTTGGTTCTAGGTAATTCCTAGCCGCTAATAAAAAGCACAGCGGGCACAACCCAAGAAACATCCATGAATGTCTAGTTTAATAGTGTTAATGAATTTCACAATATATAGTAAATTTCTGTCAATGTTTTGTGCGTACTCTAGGGCTCTTGCAGCTCCAATTGCGACCTGGATCCGCCTATTCCATGAAAGCTTCTGATGGATTTCAGCATCCACGTGCAGTGCATCATAAAGAGTCCCATTTCTGCAGTACTCATACACAAGCAAGCGTTGGCCATGGTCCGCACAATAACCAACAAGCTCCACGATATTGGCATGTCGTAGTTTGGAGATATTAGAAACCAGTTCGAGAAATTCCTCCTCTGTCTGCTTCCTAGCAACTGTGTTGTCCAGTTTCTTGACTGCCAGAAGCTAAAAAATGAATCAGGGAGAAGATGGTTAGACACCCAAGTTCGCAATCTTGTATCAAAAAGCATAATATAAATACAGAATCCAGGAGAAAGAGAATATCATTAAGGTACATGATATAAAAACCATAATTCTAAAGAACTTCTTAAGAGAAACCTGGAAAATGGTTCAAATCAAGGTTCTTATGGCCAAATAAAAAAGTCTAATAAATATCACAAGTTTAACTGTAACACAGCAACAACCCCAACAAACTAACAAGAAATAGCCAAGCTTGGCAAACTACATAGTTAATGGGCCAGATGGTAGCTTACAGAAACTAGTCTGTAACATATCAAGAAAGTCATACCTCTCCATAAGGAAGCTCAGCTCTAAAAACGCTACCAAGCATTCCTTCTCCAAGGAAATTTTCTTGGGAGAAACTACTTGTGTACTGCTGAAGTGATGCAACGGTAAACATTCTCACAGAATTCAAGTTACGACTCTTCATAGGCCGTCCGGCAGTACTGACAATGGTAGGTACAACTGAGTTTTCTATGTCACTGTCTGTTGAGAAAGGTGGAGGAGGAGGCGGCGGCGGCAAAACATCATCATCTGTGTCTGTCATGTCGATCTCATTATCCCTCATATACATTGAACTTTGAGTATTTCTTCGCACATCCATGACCCGTTCTTGCTTCAGTTTTGGCACAAAACCCATTCTTTGGTTGTCCACTCCACTTCTTTCTGGTGGTCTAACAACAGCCTCTTTTGCAACTTCTGAACAAGTTAAAATACAGCAGTTTTCAATAAAGGACTTTTATTTTATTGTATTTTTATTTTATTTAGAAGAGAGATTCAACGGCAAAGCATTACCCGTATCTGTTTGATTACTTCGCGGAAATGAAGATTCATCATGTTTAGGCTTCTCGGTCGAACCCTTATAAGTATCGAAATAATGTTCCTTAGCAATTTTGTCCCTTCGTTTCGCTTTGAACCATCTTGAGAATAGAAGGCACAATATTAATGTGGCAACTATTGAGACCCCTGTAATGGCAATCCAAACTATTGCCTTAGCATTCAAAAATCTCCTAGGTTCCCCAGACTTCACGATTATAGGAGAAGAAGAAGGTCCATTCACACGATGCCACAGTGGTTCTTCTGGAGAAGATGGAGCCCGGGCTGGAGATGCAGAGGGTGCTGCCTGAGGTGTTGGAATAATCGTAGTATTGAACGGATTTCCGTCTTTTCTGCAAAGCACAAGCCACAAGAGTAAGTGGAAAAAGAACCGATCAGATTTTCTAATACACACGCACATGTAAAGAAAAAAATAATAATAATGGAGCATTGTGTTTTCTTTGTGAAACATAGGATCATTCCATAGACTTGATATCCATTTAAAAAGCTGCTTTTCACAACGCATAGTCTAAATCGATAAAGAAGAAATAAAAGTCTCTCCGTGCCCAAATACAAGGTTTCCATGCTTCTCTTTGTTATTGAGACATACAGGTATAAACTCCTTAAATTCAACAATGACACGTAAAATTCCTCAACATAATTTGTAACAGGGGCCAACGATCTCAGTGTGCTGGTATCAAAGGTTTCAAGGATCTAAAACTCTATAAACCTTGACAAGACCTTTTTTTTTTAATCTTAAAGAGAAAAATCTGCTTTATAAAATCTCCAAAGAGAAAGGTTCTAAAACTTGCACAAATGTTGCGAAAACAAAAAATCTGGTTTCACCTGAAATTTGGAATTGTCTGCAACTTGGGAGGAATGGGTCCAGAGAAGAGATTGTTTTCAATGTTCCTGTTGTAGAAAAAAGCGCGGAAAAAATTATATGACATTATGACTTGCTGAATGCTGGACTACTTTCTAACCAGTTTCAAAAATGATAATAGTAACATAATGGTTAATCTTAGAAGATAAAAATATCTCAAGTTAACAGGTGTTTGTCGTAAAGGATGAACAGAGAATACAGATCCTGTAGCGGTAGATCCCGTAAGACATCCAGAAAACCAACAAGCCGGTTGTTCTGCAAGTGCCTGTATTCCATAAGCAATATTCAATCAACAGAAAATTACGCATATATGCCATTTCTAGAAAGGATTTTTCGGAGACTAACTCACAATGTTGACAAAGCAAACATATTTCCCATCGAAGAAGGAAGTTGACCGCTTAAGTTGTTTCCTGACAGATCTCTATAACACAGCACATTATTCATCACATTCAAAACATTAAAGAGTCTAGAGGGGGTAAAAAAAAAAAGGGGAACAACAAGAACAAAGCAAAAGCTATCTCAACTGAAAGGTGACAACTTACAAACGTGTCAAGACGGTAAGCTGCTGAAAGGCATCCGGTATAGCTCCAACGAGATGATTATTATCTAACGACCTAAGTGAATATAAGCCCAACTTTTTAACAAAAAAAGGATAGCAACAAGATCTAGCAAAATTTAACAGTATGTCATTAACTTACAATTCCAACAACTGACTTAAAACGGGTAAGGCATCTGGAATGCTTCCTGTTAACTGATTACCTGAAAGAGAACTAGAACAGAAAGAAAAGCACAACTTGGCTTAGTTAGTACATCTACATCTACACATGTTTTAACAGCACAAATTATTAACAAAAATACGATAGGAATTCGAGCTTAAAACGTACAAATTCCTGAGAGTTGGGGGCAAAGCAGATGGAACACTCCCTCCTATATGATTGTTGCTGAAATCACTACACCATAGCATTGCACAAAGCTTATAAATATTAGTTATAAAACTAGTCCCTCCTAATTCAATCACTAATCAAACATTTTAAACTATTCGGTTACTCAAGAATCATAAAGTCCAATTCATCCCCTCGAAATCAAACATTGGAATACTACGTGTTACAAACATTTCACAAGTGATTCTACAACATACAATAATATAAGCACAATAAAATATAAATGAGCCTCTCACATTTGTATTACTGATCCAAGGAATTGCAAGCCATCACCCAATTCTCCACCCAAATTTGCACCGCTGAGTTTTCTGCAAAACCAAATTACCACAAGAGAATTCATCATGAAAGATAAAAAAATATTTATCATTCTAAAACAGAAAATCCATATAAACTTACATTGCTGTAATGTTTGAGAAGACACATTCGACTCCTTCCCAGAATTCCCCACATGGGTCTCCCCCAACAAGAAGCCACCCTCGAAGGGGTGGGTATCCCAGAGCAACGTACAAATTATTCATCGCCATAACTAGAAAAAAATTTAAAAAAAATGAAGTAAAATAAAAATTCGAACTTTAATTAAAATTCTTAACCTTAATTAAAACGCTTAGTAAAGGAAGCAACTTTCTCTGAGTCTTTCCCAGGAACCAAACAGAGTAGAACAAAACAGCACTCTCGTATGAAAAATAGGAACTTTTAACTTTACCATCAAGTTGGTCAGTTATTCCGCTACAAAATGGCAAAGTGAAAATCAACACCAACCCAGTAAAAAATTTGTCCCACTTCAAATAACCCATTTTTGCTTTGCCTCAGTAGAGTTTGATTCCAGAATAGAAACCAACCATCAACCACAGAAGCCCCGGTGAAGGCAAAAGAAAAAAAAAAAAACAAAACAAAACAAAACAAAAAAAAACAAAAAGAAAGAAAAAGAACCCTTTAAACCCTTTAAGGTTTTGAGCTCAGAAAACAGGAAATGGAGTTTAAAAAAAAAAAGGTTGAAACGGATTTCACTTGAAAAAAACTAGCTGACAAAAATATTTTAGTCTGGGACCGAGATTCCTGACACAGAAAATGGCAAAGAAAATCCAGGACTTGATGAAGTGGGGGTGGTCCTCAGACTAGTGTACTGAATAGTGAAGAGAACTTTGTGTTGAGGAGAAAACTGAAAAGAACTTGGGACAATCACAGGGGCTTTTTTTTTTTTCCCTTTTCTTTTTCTTTTTTGAGCGCTTCTCGATGAGAGTGAGACTAATAACCGACTTTGCATGAAGAATTATGTCCATTGTCTATGACGTTTGAAATTTTGAAAACCGTGAGTTTCTTTTTCCTCTTTTTTTTTTTGAAAGTTAAATAAAATGGTATATCTATGACTAATGACTATACTAGTCTATGAGATTAACAATGCAATGAAGTGGAAATAACCTTTTAACAATGCAATGAAGTGGAAATAACCTTGTACTTCCCTAGGATGGAAATTTTACCCGCGAATAAAACGGACATAAGAGATATCATATAGGATGGACTAGGAGCGGTAATACGGGTCACGACATGACAACACGAATTAAAATTGACACAAAAATTACAGGTTAAAGTTGAGAAAAATGGGGTGCAGGTCAGAATCGGGTCGACTCGAATTTGACACGAACAAAACGGATCAATTTCGGGTTGGACCTGTATTACCTGAAATTGACCTGCAATTTAATTTCGTGTCAATTTCAAGTTCAAACCTGACAACGATCCGGAGTAAGCCGTAGAAAAAAAATAGATATATGTATATATATATATATATATGGTTAGAATTAACTCCTGGAAACTCTCCGTCCCTTGTACATATTTTATATTTTAAAAAATTTTAAAGAAAATGTGTAATGATTAATAATAATTATAAAGAAAGGGAAAACTACCAAAAAAACAGGTAACTATCCTTTTAATTATAATAATTTCAATTATAAATAATAAAATTATTTATGAGACATTAACGAGTATGTTGCTAAATGTTATAATTAATGTAATGAAGTTTGCGTTGAGTTTTATAATATTATGAGAATTTTTAATTTTTCCTTTCTAATAGGTAAATGGTAGGGTACGGGGATAGTTTCCTCAATGGAGATTCTCCGTTTCTGACCTCGCTTAAAATTAAATGGATTTGGAAGCATGTATTGGGTATAAAATGAGCTTGTTTAGTTTGCTGATTCGAGTTTTTAATTCGAATTGAGATGTGATTTTATGTGAGAGCTTTTTACTGTATAAATTAATTTGCTTACTTACTTGCTTTTTTATTTTATAATTACAAAAAAAAAATTACAACACTCTTTTTCTAATTTGATTTTAAAATAAGTTTTTAAATATATCACACAATCGATTAAAATATTGATTTCAAGATAAAGTTTCCATACAAAATTACATAGAAATAGATTGTTTAAAATAAGATCAACGATCTCTTTCTTATTATTAATTATTTAGAGTTAGGGTTAACACATACTTTTTTTCCTACAAGATAGACATAATAAATATTTTTTTAACTAACCGTCCTATTTAAATAATTTTTCTGAAATAAATCTAACTTTTACTTCTTATTTTATTATTTGAGTGTTTTGATCAAAACGCCTTATCTTTTTTTATTTTAACCTTAGGAGGTCCATCACAGTGCATGTTTGTAAATGACATAATTTGATACGAATCTCGCGTTTTAAAGAATAGTCTTATAGGTAGGCAGCCTAATCATAAAAATCTCATTTTATGAATTTTTTTCTTTTATAAAAAGACTCTTTCTATCACTGCCGCCACAACTTTTAAATATATAAATGTAAAATTTGCAAAGTTAATTGTTTTTTAGGAGAATTTTACAATAGAGTATGAAATAAAATTTATGGGTGAAGTTCTATTTTCAACTCACGCAATTATTGCAAAACGTGTCAGTTTCATATACTTTTTTTAGTGAGAAATTTACGTGATATGCCACTAAAATTTAAAGCTTTACATTTATGTCGTGTTTATTAATTTTAAAAAATATGTTTGTTAAGATATTAAAATTTTTTACCAAAACACAATTTAAAAGAATTTGGTCATTTTTGTCGAAAAGAAAAAATTTTGAGTGAATGTTTGATTTTCTAGTGAATTGATGAGAGGCATGAATATTTAATTATACTGTAATCTCTGATTTTTTCAACTCTCTATATTCTTCATACTATTTATCTCTCGTACTAAATAAAATCTTAATAATCATTCTCGCAATACAATCATCTTGCTTTTTTTTTTTTCCTTCTCATTTTGTCATATTTTTGTGCATTAGACCTGCGAATGTCACATAGATTTACGTGTATATTGAAAGCGCATTCCATGACGATTTTCATGTGTAGCGGCCGATCGATGTTGTGAAGATATAAAATTTAAGAAAATCCTCCGAATATGTTATTAAAGGTCCTTTTCTTATCTAAAATGAAACTCAAGGAAGAAAAGTTTTTTTTTTTTTTTATTTAAAGAAACTAGATAAAATTTCAGTTCTTCACGTAGACGAGTTATCCATCATTCAAGCCATGAATTTCTCTAGCCACCTAACTACTAAAAAAAACTCGAGTCTATTACTACAAGGGAACAACTTAACCTTTCTTGATGTCAAGCCATTGCAAATGTCACATGCAGGCTTATAATTGCAATAATTTTTAATGACAAACTCAAATTGACAATGGACAAACAAGAAAGATAAATTACCAAAAAAAAATTATATAAATATCTCAATCCAATAATGTCCTCGGAAAACGGAATCTAGCATAGATTTTGAGTTGTACATCACAATTAATCAGTCTTTGTCAAAATTTAACACTCCTGAATATTAAGAGGTTATTTGGTTGGGGATTCGTACCCCGATTTGAATCACGGTTTATGATTTATTACAGTATTTTTTCTCACAAAAAATACACGTAAATAAAAAATAGTTCTAATCTTATGATTTTAATCTATGAATCAAACGTCTCATAAAGTATTAGAAAACCCTTTAAACTGTATTGCAATATAATTAAACATAAAATACAGGGCTTTTATATATGTAAAACTCTTATAAATGCTTCTCTACTGACGCTCTTGATTTAAAATTGATTATGGATGCTATGACGTTGATATTATATTCTTAAGAATTTGCGCCGTCAGTAGCTCAAACAAATCACCAAAAAATGTTAATTATCTATCAATCAATCAACTTATGTCTAAAGAGTCACTCAATGGGAAATTTTTACGCAAAAATTATTCTTCAAAAACTTTGAGCCAATACAATTATTCCAAACCTCATAAGAAACAACAAAGAGTATTATTAAATATATATTTTTATAATAGTGTAATTTTATATGTTATATAATATATATATATTATGCTAGCACCCAACATATTATTATAAATTTACTTAATTAGTCAGCTGCGCCCGTTCGCATTATGGAGCTGTAATTGTTTGTGTGAACGTCTTTCCTTTCATTTCAAGTTGTTTTTCAGTGATAGATAAGCGGTCATTTTGGTTACTTAAGTAGCTTAACTTGCACCGTGAAAGAAAAAGGGAAAATTCAAGTTTACGCATACAGATTAGAATCTAAAATTAAACCAACCTTCTAAGTTACGTTGGTAACATTTTTTTTTTTTTTTTGGGTGTCCAAAAGAGACGTGAAAGAAAACAATAAAGCCTATATATGCTTAATCTCAAAGTAATCCGAACTTAGAAAAATCCGAAGTACGCGAAATGATCGATAGAGAATGGTGTTACCGTACGGGTCACAAGTGAATAAACGACTGCATACTATTTTCAAATATACAAATATATACAAGGCACTTAAGCAAGAGAGAAAGCTGCCACCAATTCATGTCTCAGATTGATTCATGCCAACAGAAAAACAAAACAAAACAATCTTGAAAAAAATTATCATGTAATGGACATTTAGTTTATAAATACATAATTATTTTCAATTTATGTGTATTTTTTATAAAAAAAAATACTATAACAAACTACAAATTATAATTTAAATTATGATATGATTCTACCAATTAAACGCACGTTAATACCAAATACCTCTAATGTAGTAGTAAGATATTGACGGTCGCTATTTGTGTCGCGCTTTACTTTTCACTTTATGCACTAATGCACTAACGAGCAGCAAGAGCTTTTGGAGTTGATACCTTGGACACCGATGTCACAAGTACTAATAAGTTATGCCAATAAATAAACAAATAATAAAATAAAGAGACAGTTATCATTATTAGACCAATAAAAGTATACAACTGTAATACTACTAGTTGAGGCCTTGGTAATATTAGCGCAAAAAAAAAAAAAAAGAGTTGAGATAGTATAAGCCGTAAGCATAAACGAAATGCTTCTTTCCCATCAAGTTCTGTTTGTGTCTAAAAATAGAGTACTTCTGTGTAGCCCTCATATGGGCCTCATCAGTAGGGGTGTAAGAATTGAGTCCGAACCCGAATAATCTGTCCGATCCGAATACATAGATTTTTTTTTATATATATATAAAAAAATCGGATACAAATAGTCCCAACCCGCACTATGCGGGTTGGGGGGCGAGGCGGGCATTATTGAACCCGCTATGTCCCGACCCGGCCGTTTTCTACCTACCCCAGGCATGTAACCCTAAATCCTTAAATCTAATCACTCGCACGCTCGCCTCCCTCCTCAGTCTCTTGCCTCCCTCCTCAGTCTCTCGCCTCACTTCACTCACGCCTCGCCTCCTCCTTCTCATTCTCCGTTCCACTTCACCCTAAATCCCTAATCCTCACACTCGTCGTTCGTCATTCTTCGTTCCTCTTCTTCTTCTCAGTCTCTCACCATTCCTCGGCGTTCCTCAGCTCTCTCGTCGTTCCTCACACTCGCCGTTCCGCAATCTCTTGCCATTCCTCACACTCGTCGTTCCTCGCCATTCATCATAAATCTCCGTTCCTCTTCTTCTTCCATATTTTTTTGTTTTGTTTTTTATTTCTCTCTGAATTAGAGCAAACCAAACATAAATGGGTTTGTTTGTTTGAATCTTTTAGTTGAAATTTATTACTTTGTGAATTGGGGTTGTTTGTTTGTTTGTTCTTCTTTGCTCTGATTAGATTATAAGTAAGAATTGGCAAAATTAGAGTTGTTGATTAAGGCACGAATCAGAGCTAACTAAGCTTTGATTTGGGAAGTCCTTTTTTTTTAATACTTTGAAAACGAATGTTGT